ATGAATCGATTTAGAATTATAATCGAGATTATAGCTCTATACAATGGATTCCACGGTAAAAAAAACAAAAAGTGAAAAACGTGGAAATACATGCTGATATGCATACCAAATTTTCAGTCGATCCCTATACAAAGTCCATGGAGCTAAACGTGGAAACACATTACTCGTTCAAATTCAATATTTATATGTTTTTTTCGACTTTATAACATGGGCTTCGAATTGGATCCCACTGTCAAGCTGGTTAGAGAAAGCAACGAACTTATCCAATATTATTAAATTTTGTTAAGAAACCATCTACCGACAAAAAAAGAGATAAAAATTCCACATGGACCAATCATTATCGAGACAATAACTCCATTTACTTACATCCCAAGTTTTATGGAAAGTGACTTTTACGATCAAAACTGCCAACGAACAAAATCCCTAAAGAAGAAAGAAAGTAGAAACAAATCATTTCTTCCATCTGTTCTTCTTCTTCTTCAAGAATCTCATTACATTACACTGAAGAATCGTTTCGTTGAATTTCTTCAATGTCGAAACAAACATACAAAGTTTGTTTCTGTTTTCGTCGGAGATATCGTCACACGGTGTCTGTTGCTCCGGCTGAGATCAAGACCGTTTTCGATAAATATTCCGACAAAGGTCTCATGACCGTAGATCTGCTCCTTAGGTTTCTAATCGATGTTCAGAAACAAGATCAATCCACAAGAGAAGAAGCTCAAGCCATTGTCAATGCTTCAACTTCTCTTCTTCATCGTAATGGTCTTCATCTTGATGCTTTCTTCAAATACCTTTTTGGTGTCAACAATTCTCCTCTTGCTTCTCATGAGGTAAATGATTTTCACAAATCGAGATTTGATTAGATCATTAAGTTTTTTCTTGTGGAGATTGATTATTGGCTTTGGTTTTTGTAGGTGCATCAAGACATGGATGCTCCATTGTCACATTATTTCATATTTACAGGGCATAATTCGTATTTAACAGGTAATCAACTGAGTAGTGATTGTAGTGAAATACCTATAATACAAGCATTGAAGAAAGGTGTTAGGGTTATTGAATTGGATCTTTGGCCTAATTCCGATGAAGATGGTATTGATGTTCTTCATGGAAGGTATGTTATATATTGATTTTATCTATTTTGTTTCAATTTTCTATTGTTTTTGTGTGTTATTGAAGTTTTGAATAATTTGAATATAGGACTCTTACATCACCTGTGGAGCTGATTAGATGTCTAAATGCTATTAAAACGTATGCTTTTGATGTATCCGATTATCCGGTTGTTGTAACTCTTGAAGATCATCTAACTCCAAACCTCCAGGCTAAAGTTGCTGAGGTATGAGCTTTTCTACATTTCTCCGCTTTGATTGCTTATAGTGATGATGTAAGTAAGAGATGTTCTATTTTATGTTTATTGTAGATGGTTCATGAAGTATTTGGAGAAATGTTGTTTGCTCCTCCTCCTGGAGAATGCTTAAAGGAGTTTCCATCCCCCGCGTTTTTGAAAAAGCGTATTATCATCTCAACCAAACCTCCTAAAGAGTACAAGAAAGCAAAAGATGAGGATGTTTTGAAGAAAGGTAAGAGTTTAGGTGATGAAGAAGTTTGGGGGAAAGAAGTTCCAAGCTTTCTCCGGAGGGACAGAAGTAGTGATGATAAGGTTTGTGTAGAGAAAACAGATCATGTTCATTCGATTTTTCCATGGCTTTTTCATATGTATAAGTTGGTTTTTGTTTCTTTCTTGTTGTAGAATGATTTAAATGGG